AATTAATCTATTTTTTTTAATAATTTTTTAATTTTCCATTTCTATTTTTTGGAATCATCTCGCGACCCCCACTCGAGGTCTCGCGACCGCCCGGGGGGTCGCAACCCCCACTTTGGGAACCTCTGCTGTAGACCAGGGGTTCCCAAAGTGGGGGTCGCGAGATAGATTAAAAAAAAAAATAGGAAAAAAAATATATATATATATTTTTTTTAATCAATTTTTACCAATAAAAAAACACTGACGGACCACCTAACTCCACAAATATCCAAAAACAATAGGCCTGCTTTCCACTCCAACAGTACAACAAATTACAGCCTAATAATGACAGCTTAACCTTCTCTACATCTCCTCGTTCACACAATAAATCAAATACAACTAAAGATTATATAAGCATTTAGTTCAAATGCGATTTAAAATGCTCTCAGGTTTTACACCTCTTATGAAATGTAGACTACATTTATTACGGAGTTTATGTCCAACAGACTCACAGATCGTTGGCGACTGAGAGATATGCAAACACCACATGTAGTACGACACAAACCTCCGCTGTGGATTTTCAAAACAAAATACAGTAAAACTATGGTCGCAGGCCCAAGTTTAACTCTGAGGCCTGCATGGTCTGCCTACAAAACTAAAATAAAAAACGTTTATGCAGCCCCAACAACAGCCTCTGATCATCAACAGACTTCATGCAATGCTTCATCGGATGCATATATTAGATAACTATCTCTATCTCACTCCTAACACATCCAAATCTACTTTCAGCATGGATGAATGTTCATAAAATACATCCATTGTTTGTTCTATATGCTTCTTGAAATCCAAAAAAACACATCGTTTTTTTAGAACAGATTACAAATCGCCTGAAAATGGTACAAACAAGTGGCTACATGTTTGACGAAGGTGTTGCGCTGGGCTATATCATGCAATCGAAAGTGAAACATAATATATATTTTTTCAAATACATTTTTTTTTCTTCTCCATGTCCCCTAGGCCTCCGTATTAATGCAATTGTTGTTGTAGCCTGACAATATTTAGTTATTTCTATGAAAAAATCATCACTATATCACAATGAATTAGTTTCACTTATTTTCTTTAAAATGTGTCAAATATGTGTAGCCTAACATATTTCTTAAATTACAGATGAAGGTTTTACAGAATAGCTCACTTAAAATACTTTTTAAAAAACGTTATTGTATATGTGCTTGATCGTTACTTATGAGGTAAAAAATGTTTGCCGCATAACGGAAATGGCACATTATTACATACATGGAGATCTTTTCATAATAAATACACAAAATAACCAAAGAATGCTGTTTTCCCAGGTTATTAGTAAAGGTTTCGAAAAGGAGCAGACCATGCCATTTCCCAATACAAGCATGGTTGCACCAACTAAACCCACCGGAACAGGTATTTTCTACTAAACAACACTAGCTAGATAAGTTCAGCACACAAATATTTATGTTAAAACTTATACATTGAACATTATCTCTTCTCTACAGAGTTGCCAAAGATAAAAGCTGTGTCGCCAATGGAAAAAGGCGAGGTAATACTTTCATTGTATAGTGAAGCATAAATAGGATAGATCTGGCGTATGCAACAAGTATTAATTCAAAAATAATGTCTACCTTACCATCTTTGTGTATATCCCACAGAATAATTGCAATCCTGGACAGCTTTATTCAAAGTTGTTTGATGAAGTTGAGAAAGTTAAGTGTTGGAAGGTCAAAGTTGACTCTGACACTTTGCAAAAGGAAAGGAGACTCCAAGAAAACAAAAGAACAATTGAAACTCAGCGCAAAGCCATCCAAGAATTGCAGGTTTGTGCCTCAGTTCTTGCCTCTCTCTAACACTATTTTCATTTATATCAGAGGATTATTTTTGATGATATTGTTTGTATTGTGTGTTCTGTCTTCACAGTTTGGAAGTGAAAGTCTCAGTCTAAAGCTGGAGGAACAGATCAGCGAAAATGAGGATTTGAGGAACAAGTATGAGTTTTTTTGAAAAAACACAATTTTTAAATGAAATGTTTTGTCTCTATAAAATGCTCTGTTAATAACACATTTTAATTATAAAAAAAAACAGAAACAACGCAACGAGGAATCTGTGTAATTTACTCAAAGACACTTTTCAGCGGTCAGCTGAAAAAATGCATTTATGTAAGTTAAAAGTGCTTTTTCTTCTGTATTCTGTGTCTTAACCAGTCATATCAAGTGTTGAACAAATGGACACATGGCTGCTTATTTACTGATGTCTTTTTAAATGTTTTAGTTGAATCTGAAAGAGAAGAAACACATCACCTGCTTATGGAAAATAGTTCAAGTATTCAGGTAAACACCTTTAAATCAGCATGTTATTAACTAATAATGTGATGGACAGGAGTAGATTAAACAGCTGGATTAAATGTGTGAACTTTTTCTCCCAGAACATGGTTGCAGCATTTCAAAGCCTTCGTGTTCAAGCAGAAGATGATCAACAAGAGATGCACCATGGTTTGCTTTGATCTTTTTGTTTGCTGTAGCCTTTTCACTACACTGGAACCAAATCTTAACTTTGAATGACCTAAGATTAAGAGATAATGTCCAACAGCAAGAAAACATTGCCTTCATGTTTTCAGTCAAAGAGGCCTTGCTGCAGTTTGAAGATCTGAAAGAGAAATACAATCAAGAATATGACGTGAAAGAAAAAGAGGTTAGTAGAAGGAAATGTCGGTCCGTTTATTTAGGAGTTTATGAAACTCAAGGCTTATGGTTTGGCATTCGCAGGTCGCAGAGCTTCAGACTCAAATACGGGATAAGGAACATGAACTACAAAACCTCCTGCTGGACCTCCATGAAAACCAGAAGCACTGCAAACAACTCCAAGAAGCAACAAGTACGATCATTTCTTTTCTGATTATGTGCGCTTGGCTTGTTTCTTTTTAGATTCAGAATTTTGCAGAAGTTATTTTTGATTAACTTTGTTTGATAAACATTTTTTTTAACAAAGCATTTTGTGTTTACATAATCAATGTTTTGTTACGTTCTTGTGTAACAACATTCAATGTCATTTCAACAATGTTTAGAAACATCTCAGCAGTTGTAATAAAGTAGAAATGTTTAAAGATAAATAGATTTGGATCAAATATAATAATTACAGTGATAATGAAATGATCATCTAGGGAAGAATACCTCATTAAATAAGTGTTTACTTTACAGATGAACAATGTGGACTTCTCAGTAGCTCAAAAACTGAACAAGAGTCCCTGCTTCAGAAACGACTCACTGCAGAGCAGCGCTGCACAGAAGCCGAGGTGAGTGACATGAAACTGGGCTCTGTTGTGCCTTGTTTGCTTTGATTAAATATAGTTCTCTATCCTTTAGAGAAAATGTGAAGCTCTTGCTGCAATTCTTGAACAAACTAAAGAAGAATTTACAGAGATGATTCAAAGCAAAGACTCAAGCTTGCAGGAACTCAGCAAAGTAAAAAATGACCAAGAAGAGACGTTGGAGCAGATTCAGACAAACATTCAGGAGCTCCAGGATTCCCTAGCCTTAGAGACAAAGAGGTATACATGTCATTACATCAAAACATATCAGGGCATGTTCCTTCCTTCCTTCATGTTTCCTATGCCATTATTTTCCTGTTAGGACTAAATATATATAATATCAAATTACCATTTTGGGAACTAATATTGGAATATTTTATTTTCAAGGGTTAAGGAACTTGAGGATAAGCTCATGGCCAACAGTGAGGAACTGGAAAGAAGAAACACACTTTTAGGTAAGACTGACTGACATATGATATACAGTATGTAGATCCTTTCATTTGAAGCCTTTTGATGCTGTTTTCATCTACAGGAGAGAACATGGAGCAGATTGCAAAGAAAGAAGGGCAGATCAAAATACTTGAAGATGAACTGGTAGGGTATATTTATATTTTCTAGAAGAGTATATAACTCGTTTCTCAATCATTAATTGTCTCCCGCACAGTACAGAAGCCCATTTGAAGACACTTACAGTACGTTTGTGTTGATCTCAGGACAAAACATCTAAATGTGTCGAGTCCATGAAGGAAAAGATCGAGGTCACTGAAGTCAAAGTGGAGAAACTCACCGCTGAGCTTTCAAGGGAAACCGAAGAAGCCCAGCGGTATAAGGTGAGCCAATAGATCATTCTTCTCCCAATGAATAGGGAGTCTATTGTGTGTACCTTCAAATGTAAGCCCTATTCTATTTGTGTTGATACAGAATGATGCAGAGATTGAGAAAGCAGAACATGATCTACTAAAGGAAGCTTGTGAAGCTGCTGAAAAAGCACAAGAAGATTTGAAGGAGAAATCCAGAGTGACTGAGGTGTAGATATCTTTCCTTATCTTGCTGCACTCATCATCTCTTACCCACTGCAGGGAATTTGTCTGGGAAGTTGTTTTTATTATGAAAAACAAATGCATTGATATGGTGTACTTTACTCAACACATAGCTTCACCACATGATGTGTTATATACCCTCAGATCAAAGTGCAGCAGCTGGAGGGGCAACTGTTCACAGAAGTAAAGACAAATAAAGAACATACCTTCCAGATGGTGCAACTGAGACAAGACATCCATCAGCATGAGTGAGCTCTTAGTAGCCAGCCAGCGCATTATACAATATAAATACATGTTTGTAATGTTGATGTTTAATTGATGTTATTTCTTAAGGGATAAGTACACGGAGCTATTGGCCAACTTTAATGAGCTGCATTGTGAGAAGACAGTCATTCAGCAGCAGTTTGTGAGCGGATCTTCGAGAGCGAAAGCTGTTGAGGAAAACTTGAAGGTATGAAGTACCCAATGTAGATCATTGTCTTGTGTATATCAACTTGTTTGCATTATGACTGGCTGTATCATGAAGGACACATTCTGAAAGTGGGTTTGACTAAACAGGTTAGTGAAAAGAAGGCTGTGAAACTCACAAAACAAATCCAAAGATTGGAAGAAGAAAACCAAGGTCTACGGTGAGTTGACACGTTGAAGACCTAAGAGGTTAGACGTGGTGTCGTTTTTCAGATCAAATGGTATTTATCTTTTTTAAATAGAGAGGAAGTGAAGTCCATTGAGAACAAGAGCCAAGAGCAATGTCAAGAAACTGAGACTCTGCAGAAGAAGTTTGAAGCAAATGTAAGTATGCCAACAAACCAATGAACAATAGGGTTGTTGTGAAGGTGTTACAGGAGGATGTGTTTGTGATTCCTGTTTATAGTATGAACGTCTGGAGGGGGGAATTGCAGAAAAAGAAAAACGGATCAAATCTGTGGAAACCAAGGTGATTGCATTTTGAAAATACTTATCATGAAAAACACTATTATTATTCATTCATCTCTAAAATAACAAGAAATTGTTTTGTTTTTTTAGCTGCGCAGTCTCAGGAAAAAGTTTGAAATCAAACTGAAAGCCCAGGAGGAATACCAGGAAGAGGTTAGTGAGTGCCCTGAACCTGAAGTCAGTCATTCAGCGAACGGCTCCATCGTGTACTTTCACATGTAAGAAACAAATGTCATAGGAGAAGGCACAATCCAGTCAACTTGAAATGGTGGTTTCCCCTACTAGTTCTACACACTGATATAAACGGTATAACCCTGCATTATGTAAATGCTTGTTTTTGTCTTAAGATCAACAATCTTCATGAGGAGGCCGAGAGCCTTAGAGCGCTGAACGAAGAAAACCGTCAGAAATTGCTAAAAGAATTTGAGGCCAAATCAACCTTGGCATCAGAGCTTGAGATTGAGGTTGCTTATTTATTGTTATGTGATTAACCACATATTCAACTCCTCATAATTAAAAATAAAGAATAAAAACACTTTGTCTAACAGGCACAAAAGTTCAAATCAACAGCAGCAGAGGCCACCAAGAACAAAGAAGACACAGAACTGAAGTGCCAACACCAAATAGCAGATATGGTCGCTCTGATGGAGAAACACAAGGTAACCTCATCAAAAAGCACATGTTGTGCTTTCTAAAAATAGTTGTTTGCAACATGACTGTCACTCCAAACACATGTTGAATTGGAAATGTGTTTGTTATCATTAGAGCCAGTATGACCGGATGGTTGAAGAAAAGGATGCAGAGCTTGATGAGACAAAGAAGAAAGAGATGCAGGCTGTTGCACATCGGAAATCACTGGTATGGTGTTTTTAATAAATCACAATTTTATACATAATTGAGCATATATATATATATTGTATATACTGCATATACAATGAGATCAACAATTATTTGATAACAAATGAGTTATGTTAAATCTACATTTAAAAATGAGGACTTGGAGCTTGCCAAGCACAAGACGGATAACGATCACCTGAAGCAACAGCTGGGGGCAGGAACAACAGAAAAGGTATGTCCTAGTTACTGCAGTAGTTGGAATCAGGTACATTATATCATTCCCCTTTTTTTCACTGAAATAGCTTTTGAGAGAGTTCTTTATGAAACACTTTTAATCATATTAGGAAAAACTGCAGAAGGAGCTGGCTGACTTCAAGAAAGAAATGTCATCTATGAAAATGACTCTGCTGTCAGAGGCAAGGAACAAGCAGGTACAAATATCCGTTCATCTGCGAATATGCTAGCACTGATGAGATGGTTTGTTCTCACATGTACCTAACCTTTAACATTCCAGGCACCTGCCTTAAACTGTACCCAAGGGGAACGTTCTGAGACTCCAAGAGAGAGCTGTTCAATGAGACACGTGTTTGACTCCACCAAAACCAGGAGAACTCCCTCCTCCAGCAACAAAGAGGGAAGTTCTGCATTAATGAAGAAAGCTGTGAGTTACCTACCAGATTCCTTTAGACAGACTAAATGCTCTTATTTCAGACACATCCCTAATTGTTTAGGTGAGTTAGGAATCAAATCATGAAGTTGTATTATCTCAAAGACACTGGAGATCTATTCTTCAACTCACCTGTTAGTCCAATTCAGACCATCTTCCTACCATGGATGTCAAGTTGTATCCATTCAACAATACAACGCATACTGAAATGATAACTCTCTTGCACATGAATACACATCCAATGCAGTTTCAGGGCTGTGTATTGTATGTTCATGTGCCATAATCACTATGGACTGCATGTCCATAGTGATTATGGTCAGTAAGGCTGTTATGGAACAATATTGCAATACATTTTTGGTTGTCAAGGAATCAATTTAACTGCATTAATATTATACATATGTTGTTAAGGAATCCTACTCTGAATCCATCAGAAAATCCTCTCGAACAACACCAAAGACCAAGGTAGACAACAGCACATTTACACACAAATGTTTACTGGTGATGATGGTGATGATGATGATGACGATGATGACGACGATGATGATGATGATGATGGTGGAGAGTCTAGTTGCTTTCATTATAACTCAGACTGACCTTGATTTCCCTTCGAAGGAATTTCGTAATGAAGACCTAAAAACCCCAAGAAGAACTACAAACAGACTTGGCGGAACATCAAAGATCAAAGTAATATAGTAGATTATTCTGACATTTTCCATAAAGAAAACAAATATTTGAATGACGTGCGCACATTAACACTCTGATTTGTTTTATTCAGTCCTACAGAATAAGGACTCCTCCTTCTTCTGAAAAGGCATCAGGCTGGGGAAAGAGCACCTTAGTGCTGTCGGACAAGTCTGACAGCTCTGATCAACATGACCTCTTGGTGAGTTGTATTTGTATTGATTGTTGGTTTATTGAATTACACAGTAAGTACATAGTATCATTGTTTTTGTGAGTTGTATCTGATACAAGTGCATGATTGCCAAAAGAGCTGGCTTAGTCTTCTGTTTCTCTTCTTGGCAGACCTTTGCTAGTACACCTATACCAGATGTTTCCGCTCCACACCGCAAGTTCAACATCTTCAAAAAGGTAACATGCTATTTAAAAAGCTTGATGCATTGTATACATAGACATAAAAACAAACTATCGCATGTCATTTTTATTTATACAAAAATGGATCATTGTTTTTTCAGATCCAAAGCCCCATCTCTCAGAAATCACCAGGGAACTCCTTGAAGTTAGCAGCAATGAAAAGGATGCGAGATGCTGGTTGGACAGCTGTTACGGGCTGTGACAAAAAGAAGAAGACAACCAATGACAAGATCTTTGCCTAAATAGTGCGCTCACAGGGCAGATAACCCTTAAAAGTTTTAGTTCGGATGTTCATGTTTCAACTTTGTTATCGTTCACAAATAGCATCGGTAAGACTTTAACACACTGTATCATTAATAACAAAAGGCCAATTTATTTCTTTACATGCACAAAAGATTAGATAGGTTGATCAGTTAAACAGTCTTGTTATCAAAAGTGTTCATTGTCCAGCTGTTCAAGCAAGTTTGGCTATAAGGTCATTTAAATGACTGCAGAGTCCCCTTCAATGCGTTTAGGTGCTTTAGAAAGAATCAGTTTATTGTAGTTCTGCTTTATGTAAAGACTAATCTTTACTGGTGTTCACATGAGATGGATTTGACCTGCACGAGTTGATATTGTTGTTGTGAGAGATAGTGTAGTTTGTGTTGCTATCTTAATATATTTAATGTATTTCTGTATTCTAGTATTGACAGTTTAGTGAGTAAAATTGATGTTCAAATCAATCAGCATTGTCCTTGTTTCAATGTTCTGCCCATCATTGTTGTGGCTGTCCTCTCTGCTGTCAGACTCTTATGAATCATTTTGACATTTCTCATGGGTCAGTCCTGAAGTTCTCTACTCATTTGGGGAAGAGGAAAACACTTTCGATCACCAAAGCTGCAGGAACTCGGTCCTTAATGAAGGAACTGGAGACGGAATTGAGATCGGTCTGCTGCTGGGGCTTCTGGAACGTTGTCGTATATCGGGTGGCCATCATAAAGTCCTCCAGAAATCACGAGTGTGTCATCGTCGGCCACAAATGCATCTGCTGAAAACCAGGTATGTTAAACTGGTAATGATAAACAAAACAGAATATACTTATTGTTTGAGGAAGGGAAAGTCCTTACCCGTGTCATCAGTGTTATTGAGAGGTTGATGCAAGTATTGGATGTTATGTTTGCATCTGCGAAACATGAACCCAACCAATGCCAGAGCAAATACTCCGAGTACAACGCTGAAAACAATAGTCATATTCTTTTCTGAAATGTTCAGTCGCAAACCTAGCAACAGGGAAAAAGGAACACATTAAAAACCTACAATGAGCAATTCAATGAAAAACTGAAGCCTGCTTACCTTGTGTGGTTCTGTTCATTGAATCTGACGTCGTGTTCACGGTGTGTGATGAAGTTGTAATTACTGTAGCAGTCGGTGTACTCATGTTACCTGCCGTGGTCTGTGTTGCTGGTGTTGTCTGTGCAGTGAGTGTCGGTGTGCGATTGCCAGGTGTCGTGGTTATTTGTGATGTAGTGTTTGTTAGAGCAGTCGCCTGAGATGGGTGACTTGTGCTCTCATTTGTTGCGGCTGTACTTCCTGTGAATGTCTCATTGTCTCGGGTTGTGCTGCTGAAAGGAGTCGTGTTTCTGGTCAAATTTGAGATAACAGTAGAGTTAGGTGAAGGTACCATTGTTGTTCCGTTTGTCATGTTTGACCTGGGGGTTGGTATTATAGGTCTGATAGTAGTGATATTCTCCGCTTGTACCACAGCAATAGAAAGAGCCAGAAGGCAACAAGCCAGACCAGCAGAGATGGTATCCATGACTATTAAGTCCTGTAATGGTAAACAAAACATGAGCACTTCCAGAAACAGTGTAAAATGTGTTTAAACCGTAAGCCTGTGAAAACAACATCTTAAACATGGTGGTTGACCTTTAATAACTAGGTCATATCTACTACATTAATCAATATAATCCAGCAAAGATCAGACACATTCAAACACATAATGGCAACCAACTCTTATTTTATTTAAATATAATCATTTCTAATCTCCCTCTTACTCTATGTAAAAAACTAAGTTCAAATCTTGATCAAGGAAGTAAATGTAAGATTTGTCTCACCTTGTTTTGTCGGTGTCAGTGAAAACAAACTGGGCTCACTTCACTGGCAGCGAGTCTGCCTCCATGCTACGGCTGACTCCACTTCCTGTAAACCTTGTGCAGCTCGTGTGGATTTGCTGGCGCAGTGGCAGGTGAAAGTGGGCAGGTCAGTGCTTTGTAACCTTCCTCCATTGTATGTTGCCAAGGAGACACATGACACGTTTATTATCCTGACCAAAGCTCACTCGGTCTTTTCCTTATTGCTCAGTTCAAACACTTTTTACTGCCCTGAGTAGAACAGAAACTGCAGAGTACATGTAGTTTTCTTAGTTTCACTGTCATATATACTCACTCTACATACAGAGGTCATACACTCACTGGGGTTTTCTGTATGCTTGTGTACAAGGGTTTATCAAATCTTTAATAATGAGTAGGCAGTTACTAAAAAAGTTCACAATTCCCCCCCCCCAAAATAACCAGCCACTTAACAAATACAAACACATGGCCATGTCATCTTACATTTTGTAGTATATCAAACAGTGTTTCATTATGCCTTTGTCAGCAGGACATGAAGGAGGACAATGTTCAGGTAGAGAACATAGAGCTAGCAGACACTGAAAGAGAACAATTGAACAAAGGGCAATGAAAGTAAAGTGAACACATCACTGCTTAACAGGAAATGAGAGCCGCTCTGTCATCGTGAGATCAAATATGAGGTGACTGTGTGTGATCTCAAAGCCTATTGTTCTGATGAATGCTAAAACTGCAGAAATGTCCTGGTTTAACTCTTTTTTTTCTATTATTAAAATCACCTCAGTAGGGTAGTAACATCCAAAGACAGATTTAGATTGTCTTTATGTTCTTAAAGCTCAATTTAAGACAAGTTGTCAAGCTCTTTCTCAATGTAAAATATACATAATGTTTTATTGAAATTCAAGAAACATGTTTAAAACACATCAACATAAATACACGGTAATGGAAGATTTGTAAAAACAATTGTTTCCACAAATGTAATGCACGGGGGATCAAGCAGCAAAACAATTGAGTCTTGTCATTGTCATGTTTATAAAAATAATTATTTTAAAATCTCTCCTTTCAGTAAATATGTATGAATGCAGCAGTGTCACAGTTTGGTGGCTCTTTCAGGATCTTTGCTTTTCATTTCAAAGTCTGTGAATGTTGGGTTGTCAGCCACCGTATTAAAGTCTGTTGCAGACTTTTCTGTGACTTCTGATACCTGTAACGGAGTGAGAACAAACTATTATTAACACGTGACAAAATATACACATCTGTATTTCATATATCTTTACTTTGTTACTTGTTATATAACAAAGGGGTTTTTCTCCTACCTTTGATTTACCACAGCAGCTGAAGCTAAACAGGTCACTCGCCTTCACAAACAGATCAGGGTTCTTTTCATCTTGCTTACATCCACCTAAACACAAATGGAAACATATTCCCATAACAGTTCTAATTGTAGATTTACATTATACTGTTAAATATTTCACCAACATAAGAATGTGTATTTTCAGGTAATGGTAAAGGAGATGTCTCACCTGTGGCCATGCTCACCAGCAGACCAACCACCATCGTGGTGAGCGTACCCAGGAGACAGAAGTAGAGGTAGGACAGAGAGTACCAGGAGTCTGCCAGAGGCGGCCTCACACTGAAACACAGAGGACATCATTACATGATGTCCTCATCCTATTCTGCACTTCTTATGCCAACATTAATGACACATTTCTTCTGATGGCATACTGCATGAACCTCGTTTGCAACTATCGTTTATCCTTATTATCGAATATTCGACTTTTAATAGTTTTGTCAAACGTGCAGTCCAAATTCCTAACTTATTTTAATAAACAATAATATAAAACAGAAACATCCGCAAATTATCACTTTAAGAAAATGGAACATGTGAAAAGTTGCCATTTTTCAAATGCCCTGAGGAATTAATAGCTTGTTGAAATAGTTGATTTTCTCTCAATTGACGTATTAATAAAGCAAGTAACTGCTGCTCAAGTATATATATAAATGTAGACTGAGGTTCTTTGGATATAGTCTCTATCAATGTGCATTTTGTATTTCCGAAATTATTTTTGAAAAGCATCAAAACCCTGTATAAAAATCCATTTCTGAAATGTAGTCCAGAAAAGCGGTGGGTTCAGCATATATTATCAAGTTTAATGATATGTATTAATATACTGATAAAGCATTCAAGCATTCCCTCTGGGAGCATTCATCCTTGACAACAGCTAAATAATTTAATTTTGTATTTATATATGTTTAGAGTTTTTACTTTTGGTAATAAACCGGCAAATTGAAGTCTTTGCGGGTCAGATATGAAGCTTGGAAACATTTCTATAATTGGTATACATTTGCAAAATGAAAATGCTAATGTTGTTTTGGATCTGCTCATGTCATGTGAGTGGCAGCAGACGCCCCTGAGTGTCATGAATAACTCACTGGGGCTGTGAGGTCAGAGTCACGGGACTGGTCCATGGAGCTGGGGTTGTGACGTTTTGACTCATTGTGCTGTTGCAGCCCACAGTGGAGACTGGGAGAGGGTTTGTCTTTTCAGCTGTGGGGGGGTAGATCTGGCTTCCAATCCCCACCCACAGAGTCAACACCAGGCCAATGATCATTCCCACGAGCCCGCCCTGCAAAGTAAACATGGTGCAGTCAAATACCTCCTGGATGCGTCACATTCAAAAAGAATGCTAGTGTAAAAGGAAATACTCACTATTGAATTTGATGTGCGGAATAGCATGCCTAATAGGTAAAGACCAAGAAGAGGCCCGCTGATCATGCCAAATATGGACAGAGCTGCCTGTGAAAAGAAAACGATCAGAAGGCTTGTAGTTCATGGTGTTCAGCTCTTGGTGGGGCAGTAGAGCAATACATGAGTGCATGGTGTTCACCTGCAAAATGCTTCCCATGGCTGATGCAACTCCAGCCATCCCAATGCACACGGCACCAAAGAAAACACCTGGGAGGTGTTCAAATCAGCATTGTTAAGATCAGAGAAAGGATCTAAACACAGCTTTCAGAGACAAATGTTTTTTTTTTAATAATTTAGCGGTTTTTGGTCTCAATGTATTTTGAATGTTGTCTTGTATTTCCAGGGTATCTGTTCTTGAAAAGTCATAAAAAGCGTTGAATTTAGTTAATAATGTCAGTTCATAGGCGTTGATGTTATTTAAAAAATAATTCCACATATGATTGTGGGCTGTCAGGAGACGTTACACATAAATTACATTAGGAAGGAAACACATTGTCATATAAAGGGTACGTGTCAGTTTGAGCTAAATTAATGTGTGGTCAATCCATTCATCACTAGTTTTTTTTTTTTAAATCCTTAACACTTGGTTATGTAACCTGTATTAAATGTATCCTATGGGTAACTAATAAATGGTTTAACTTCCAAGTAATTAACTAATAAAGGGTTTATCTTCCAAGTAATTAACTAATAAAGGGCTTAACTTCAAAGTAATAATGGAAACCACAACTTTGATCCTCCCAAGTTGACCTACGTGTTTCAACCTTTGTAGGGTTTGTTCAGCCAATTGAGGTATAGGCCTATCCACTGTTTGTACATTGAGCTTTGCAAAATCTGCTTCTAGAAGCTTTTCTCCAATGGTTTCATTTATTTGATCACCACCTGGTCATGTCATAACTTGAACAGTGCAACTGGAAACAATTATATTTATTTGGAAGAATAACATAAGATAATGGTTATCTCTGTAACTACTATCTTATGAGCTTCAAGGAGTCACTGTAAGATAATTACTGCGGTATTTATGGTCAGAACTGACTGTATCTCTTTAGATAATGACATATGTAAGGTTGTATAGCAAAACTGTCTTCATAAAACATTTTCTTGGGAGTAGTTTAGTCTTTATCACACTTTTTCTGATACTTGCTCATTTTTGTGCTGACGTGAAAGCATATTGAACTTACTGAGGCCCATGTTCATCCAGGAAACTTGCTTCTCTGTGAGGTTTTTGAACACTGGAAGAATAAAGTCCTCCACAGTGACAGCAACAAGAGCATTAATGCTTGAAGACACTGTGCTGAAAAATATACAACAGTTAGCTTTTAGAATAGAACAGGATGACTTATGCATTTAGATGGCCATTTAGGTTACAGGTAGGATTAGTCTCGGATAGCATGCAGACGGTCGTTTCGTGCGTCATGCGTGCATAAAATGACTAGAACCCAACAATGACTTTCTCATTCGTCAGAAAAACAATGACATGGAGTTAGGAAGAAAGATAACCCAGGTACTGCCAGCTCATTTTGACTCATCATTGTATCTTATCTACAAGATCCTTTCCTTATTCCTTACAAACTATAACAAATGTTCCACGTTTGTCTCAGGACTCACCTAAGGGTACCACTGTATGCAGCAGCCACAAACAAGCCAGGGATTCCAGGGTAGGCTGCCAGGATATCCATCACAAGGTACGGCAGCATCTGGTGTCCAAAGAAGAGCCATTTTACAGTTAACAGTAATGCTTTGTGACACACAGCATGATGACCATGAGATGATGAGACTATAACAGCTGTGGTTACCTGGTCAGGTGTGCCTATGTCACCGTTTTCAAGTGGGTCACAGTTCTTGTAAATGGAGAACATGGTGAGGCCGGAAAACACAGCCAGACTCACAGTTAGCCACAGGCCCACCAGGTTCACATACAAAGACCTGGGATGTTAAAGAAGACGCGTCAGTGCTCAAACCTTTGCTCACATCTAACAATATACTTTTGGCATTGCAGGAACGCTCACATCTTGGCATGTCGCAAGGATTTGCAGGAGATGTAGCGTTGCACCTGGGACTGGTTGATGGAGTAGATGGACACCCACATGACGCTGCCACCGACTACGATAGTCCAGAAAGTGTGTCGCTTCAGAGGGTCCGGGTCAAAGCTAAAAGTCAACAACATGTGTAAGGTTTGATTGTTTGGGGACATCAACAGCACAAACATCTGGTAAAGAAAGGTCTTTTAAATCAACACTGAGAAAAAAGTTGAATTTAATTAAATGTTTTATGTCAACAAATTACTAATAATTGTATTAGGTAAGTTAAAAGCAATAATATTAAGTTTGAATAAAAACAGTATATTGTTGCTTTCAGCTAACCCAATAGACATAATACAGTCAGCGTTTCTGTTTTTCCAGTGAATAAACAGAAATGATTGATATTTAATCAACAGTTTCCAGAGAACCTTCCTTTCGTGTATACACAAGCAGTTAGTCACAGGAAACAATTACCGGAGTTAATCAAATTGTTTTTTCTGTCACTGCAGTCTAATTGATCTGATTATGGAAGCCCCGCCCATCTGACATCATAATCTGTTCAAAACAAACCAACAACAAATACTATCCTCCACAACTCTGCTGGTGTACTTACTCAAACGCATCTAGTCGGCCTCCTTTGCCAGCATCTTCCCAAATATTGGTCAGGCCTCCCTGCAGAACGGCTCCTCGAGCTATAACCGCCACAAACCCTGCCAGCATGATCACCATCTGCATTACGTCCGTCCAGATCACTGCTTTCAGACCGCCCTGAAACAAATCCAAGTTCCTGTCAGCTTATCATTTCCAAGTAATGTTGAAGATCTTTCCGATGTAGTGCTAGTTGAGGCTTCATGCTGTGAATTTCAAATGTGTACAATTATAAATCAACTTTGACAACTTTAGTTTCACAAGCAGATCTGACGGTGTAATTAACCGCACACCTAAATAGGTGTGTGCAATCTGTACAAATAAGTTTAGTTTGAAACATTTCTCTTTTTTTTTTTGCACTTTTATTGTCATTACATAGTACAGGTACTATGTAATGAAATGGTTCGTCTGCATTTGACCCATCCTAGTGTTAGGAGCAGTCTAACAATGCAGATCATGTATTTACTACAATAAATACTATATGAAATGCAGCATACTGACCAAAGTGCAGTAGACGATGCACACTGCTCCTGTGGCCACCAGCACTCCCCATAGATCCAGCCCTGTGACTGAGTAACCACAGAAAAACTCCTTTATGATTTCAGAGCAAATGCATTGAGACATAACACCATGAGACATTTCAGTTAATCCGAGCCGCTCTCATAACCTCCTAAAAATGTTGTATTTAAAAGGAAAACACATACTCAGCTTTTTTAGTTTGAGGTTAAATCTGTGTTGAAGTTAAACATGAGACAGAGAAACCATCTGTCCTATCTGTCAGTATTGAACAGTATAAACTCTGTTTTCAGGCCAAATCAAATCTAACACAGGTTACCTCTGGACGACTGAAGAACTCTTTATTCATAACTGCTGCAGCAGACTTACTTTGATTTAGTGCAAGAGCTGGGGCGTAGATGACCATGCCGGTGTACAGGATCTGAACAAAAGTGCTCCCATTAGCTGATTAGTTGGAAACACATCAAACGTGATTCATATTCATCTTGAAATTGGTATCAAGAATCCATTTTACATGAAGCAAAACAGGTGCTTTTCACCATGTTACATTTTTCATGTTATTTTGAATGATTAAATGCATAGCAACCATGAATATGTTTGAAAAGCATGTTTTAGTTACCGTCTGAGCAATGTACATTGTTGTCCCAAGTAGACGAACGGGCCGGCTGAAGCGCAGCTCCAGGTACTAGAAATGGAAGGAAAACAGACAGTCATACTTCAGTAAACTGTTCATTTGGTTTATATATCCATATTTACAAAATATGCAAATTGTTTTTTATTTGTTTTCCACTCCAATGTCTGCCCAATTATTGGAGGAACTGCTTTTATGGCAGATTTTGTACAGCAATGGATAACAGTAAAACCCTTTAAACAAGCTACAGCCATGTTGTGAAATAAAGTGCAGCCACATTAACTTGTAAAAGTGCCCATCAATAAAGCATGCATGCTCCAATTATTGTTATATTCCAAGGTATTTGGTGCCAGCTTTTGTAATATTTTAATCATTTCCGTACCTCATAGGCACTGGTGATTGCCAGTCTGTAGAATAGTGGGACAAAGACCTCAGCGGTGATAACAGACATGATGGCATAGGAGAAGCCGAAGAGCCAGAAGGCAGCTCCAAAGCGGTAGGCCTCAGCCGGTGTGCCGATGACCGTGATGCCAGACATAAAGCTGGCAGTGAGCGACATGGCAACAGGCACAGCTGTCATTTGTCGTCCACCAAGCAAGAACTCAGAACTGCTGGTCTCCTTGCGGCTTCGGATGGCCTGGAAAAGGCCAACGCCGGCTGAAACCAAAATAGTTCCCGCAAACACCACATAATCCCACACAGAGAAAGTGGCCACTGGACCACCTGCACCAGTCATGGTTAGTTTAGCAGCTTTCACCAACGCTTCTCTCTGAACTCTTGTTATGAATGCTTCTGAATTATTTGTTGTTTCTAACGTTGAAGGATCTTCACTTTAATTTAGCCTGAAACTGTCTTAAACTCCAGTTGTACACAAACCAAAACATAAGTAGAAGTCAGAGAAAGCCAACTGTGTCAAATGTGAGACAGGTGTAAATAAACTGCACTCATCCTTAAAATGTCCTTTCAACAAAGAATAGAAAAATCCAGAGTTTGAGGCGTTAGTCCAACGCTGTTTTCCACTTTGTAATCTAACTATCAGAGTTGCTCCAGCTAATAGTAGAGGTATAACACACTTTAACCACTCTTCATCTCCCGCAGGTGTCTTAGCCACTCTGAAGTTTTCTGCAGACTATAAAGATTAGTTTAGTTAATAATCCATCAAGGACACATTGTACTCAAGTCAGCCTTCCAGTGATTGTAAAAGGTGGTGTTCCTGGGGGTTGTGCTGATGGCAGACAAGATACTTTCTATTGGAATGACAAAAAGAATGCACCAGAGAGACTTTAACTACCCTTGACAATCATTAAACAAAAATAAGGAAATCCATGCAGCTTTGGCTCAAGTGAACATACCGACTTGTCAGTAGCTCGAAGCCTCAATCTCTGACGTTTAGAGATAAACTGCAATGTCTACTGCTGCAGTTTTCATTTGACTTACTGTACTAGGACAAAAGATTAGATAAGCCTACTCTGAATGTGTTTTACCCATGTTTATAACAAATTTGGACTGTGCCGTTTGTGAAAGTCTTGCATAAACTTTGCTGACTGGTGTGGATTTTTGGAACCACCAATGCATGAAGCATAATTTCCACATGCACATTGACAGAAGTGCTCAGACACGTTATCTAGTTCAAAACGTGTTTTTCTTCGGTTAATTTTTATCCAAATGAGGGACAGATTAGGTTTGTAACTCTGGTTAACATGTAAAAGTGCTTTAGAAAATAAGCGCATCCTTCCAAGAATGTATGCTTTTAGGCATTTTGTGACATCTAGTGGACACTGAACAAGCCCATGATCTTCAGTTCATTTAGAATCAATTTTCTTTGTTGTTTTTACATAAACTTTGATCATTCAAATAATTATTAATTCATGTCACTCAACTAATGGACTAAACACTAAGTCCTGTCTGTTCGTCACAGATAGAAGATAACTGCTACCTTGGATACGAAAAATGTTGCATAAATACTGTTCATGAGGGATGTTCAAACTCACAATCATCAGGTCCTGCATCTCTGGAGCAGGTGACTCTCACATGCAAAAAGGAGCAAATCATAATGAAGATACTACGCTTTATGTCCTTGCTGATCTCTCGTTGACAATGTGTGTCTTTATATTTCCTTTCCTTGCAGATCCCAAGTTTATTTGGGAAATAAATCCCTTTGCTTGACATGGAGAGTGCAGTATTCACCAGCTGGCTCCTTTTCCTGATGTTCAGCCCAGCTGTTCCCATGTGTTTACCCACAGACTTCACCCTGTATGTGGAACAGCCAGAGTGTGGCTACTGTGTGGCGATCAACACAACCATCTGCATGGGATTCTGCTACTCAAAGGTATGTCTGACGTAGATTCTCATTCATTTCTTCAGCTGGAAAAATAAAGATTGTCATATAGGAAAGTGATTGATGAAAAGGTTCATTGTTTCACCATGGCCAATAAAAATGATTAACTGTGAATGGTTTAAAGTTGTAAATCCACTTTAAAAAAATATTTGTTTTCAGTCAAAACACATTTCCGTTTGATCGTTAACCAGTGTAAATAGAAGGTAGTATTTAAGGAAATAAAAAAACACAAAAGGGTCAGAAACAAATGAAAAACAAACAGATTTAATTGTAGTATTTTCAAATGTAGTTTTAATGTAACTGAATATGTTTCATAATAACATTTAAATGTGTTCAATGTGCAAAGTCCTTAGGGAAAGGAACAGTCAAATAAAAAACAAACATATTTAAAACATAGGTGATCTTTTAGAAAGACTGTAACATTTAACCAACAAACTTGTTGCATTATTTATTTACCTAGAAAAGTGTACATTAATCAACAATTCAGTTTCAACCTCAATGTAAATATGTCTGTTGGCTATTGATCAAGGGGCGGGGGCCTTGACCTCAACCCTGACAAAGAGACAGAGCCACGGCTGGATTTATCCAATTTTAAGATACAAATCTACAAAAAGTTGTTTGTTTCCAAGGATTTGAAATGTATAATGAGTTGATGATGTGTTTGTGTACTGTACGTTGAGCAGGACAGTAACCTGAAGCACCCACTCCGCACACGCTTCCTGATCCAGCGAAGCTGTACCTATGACAAGGTGGAATACCGTGCGGCCGTACTGCCCGGCTGCCCCGTGGACTCCAACCCCGTCTTCACCTACCCCGTGGCCCTCAGCTGCCACTGTGGGGCCTGCAGGACGGACAGCAATGAGTGCATACAGAGGGCCGGCCCTGACAGAGCTCGCTGTACCAAACCAGTGAGAAGTCTCTACCCGTACCCTGGCCAGAGAAACTACATGATCCCTTTCTGATTCTCCTGGTATCAGCTTATCTCTTTTTACTGTTCAAACGACCCAGCAGCTGCATGAGTCATGAATGTTTTTCGATGAAACAAACACCATCCTTTAGTTGGTGATGGATACAGAGTTATCTATACTGTCTGTTCTGGTACCTATTGTTCCCGACTGTTTATTGTGTCTTTGTTGCCAAGCGTGCCTGTGCTGCAGCCCTGCTACTCACTTTACAATGCGGGGTTGATCCTGTCGCACATTTTAGTCAGCGTCATTATTTATCCTCCTGTACCCTTGTGTGTGAGTGTGTGTGTGTGACTCCCAGACGTATTATGTTTACTCTAAGAGGGATACTCTGAATTCAACTCAATTAAAGCTGACGTCTCTAAATAGCTCTCTGACTAAGCTGTGTTTGACTTAATCACATCCTGTACAGAGCACAACAGTAGCTTCCACATCACAATCACAAGGCCGTGACGCTCCACAATGTCACCTCAGGATACTATATTTGCCACATCCGTCATTCTGAAGGCACATGATCGTTAACTCACCTCTTCCTACCAAATGGATTATCAGTGAGCATGGTGGTCCACAAAGATAAGGCAGAAGAATTACCAATCTCCAAAATGACAGTATGAAAATTGTCTTTACCAATTTGTTGAATAGATAATATGTTTACATTAATAATAGTACAGCATCAATGTGTTGTTTCCCGTTGTCACAGTGAATTCTGGAGGGAGACAGCTGGAGCTTATTAATAGCACAGTAGTTCAAAGGTGAAACTGACTATGAAGTCCATCATGTGGAACTCTGTTACATTGCTCTTTCCTCACCTTAGGTTATATTCATCTCACTTCTGTATGTACAACATTCCTCCGTCAGTTTACATTTAATTTGCTTATTCAAGTGTCTCTTTGTTGACTTAAGAGCTATCTTGTAAGGCTCAGATTCTAACTGTACGTATCAGAGCATTATACAGGACTGTCTCAGAAAATTAGAATATTGTGATAAAGTTCTTTATTTTCTGTAATGCAATTAAAAAAACAAAAATGTCATACATTCTGGATTCATTACAAATCAACTGAAATATTGCAAGCCTTTTATTATTTTAATATTGCTGATTATGGCATACAGCTTAAGAAAACTCAAATATCCTATCTCTAAATATTAGAATATCATGAAAAAGTATACTAGTAGGGTGTTCAACGAATCACTTGAATCGTCTAATTAACTCGAAACACCTGCAAGGGTTTCCTTAGCCTTGAAAAACACTCAGCTTGGTTCAGTAAACTAAATCACAAGTATGGGGAAGACTGCTGATCTGACTGCTGTCCAGAGGACCGTCATTGACACCCTCCATCAGGAGGGTAAGACACAAAAAGAAATTTCTCAAAGAGCAAGCTGTTCACAGAGTGCAGTTTCAAAGCACATCCACAAAAAGTCTGTTGGAAGGGGGAAATGTGGCAGGAAACGCTGCACAACCAAGAGAGATGACCGCAGCCTTAACAGCATTGTGAAGAAGAGTCGCTTCCAGAATTTGGGGGAGCTTCAAAGACAGTGGACTGAAGCTGGAGTCCAGGTATCAAAAGTCACTGTTCACAGACGTGTCCGGGAAATGGGCTACAATAGCCGTATTCCCATGGTCAAGCCACTTCTGAACTCAAGACAACGGAAGAGGCGTCTGACTTGGGCTAAGGAAAAGAAGCACTGGACAGTTGCACAGTGGTCCAAAGTCCTCTTTTCAGACGAAAGCAAGTTTTGTATTTCANAGCATGATCTGGCACCTGCCCACAGTGCCAAAACCACCAGTAACTGGTGTACTGACCATGGCATTACTGTCCTCGATTGGCCTGCAAATTCCCCTGACCTGAACCCCATAGAGAATATGTGGGGTATTGTGAAGAAGAAGCTGAAAGACACCAGACCCAACAATGCTAATGAGCTAAAGGCCGCTATTGAAGCATCCTGGGCATCCATAACACCTCAGCAATGCCACAGGCTGATTGCCTCCATGCCACGCCGCATTGATGCAGTAATCCGTGCAAAAGGATTCCCAACCAAGTACTGAGTGCATTAATGGACATTTTCAAATGTTTGATTGTGTTTTGCTGTTATAAATCTTTTTTTTTTACTTGGTCTGAGGAACTATTCTAATTTTTTGAGATAGGATTTTTGAGTTTTCTTAAGCTGTATGCCATAATCAGCAATATTAAAATAATAAAAGGCTTGCAATATTTCAGTTGATTTGTAATGAATCCAGAATGTATGACATTTTTGTTTTTTTAATTGCATTACAGAAAATAAAAAACTTTATCACAATATTCTAATTTTCTGAGACAGTCCTGTAAGTGTTATTCATTGGTGTTGCAGCTCTATAGCAGCTTTTCAGATATTGAGATATTTAATAAAATATCAAATTTAACAGGAAGCTGGTGAACTGAAGGCTAAACAAAAAGATGTTAAATGAATGGCAGAAAGTACATTTCTGTTTCACTTTCATCAGTGAACAATAGTTGTCTACATCTGCATTGCTCCCCATGTCAAGCTTTGACTCTGTGCCACTTGTCCCTGACACATATCATAAAGTTAGAAACCTTATATTTTTGGGGCAGAGGTGGAACAAACCAAATGTGGTCTAGCTAAGTGCGGGAAATTATGAATGTAAACCGGTTTTTAATGCTGAACCCTAAAGCCCATAACCTTGAGGAAGCTTCTTCAACTTCTCACAGACCAGCACTGTTTAACCTTGACACTGCTGTCAAATTGAACATTCCTGGATTTATGGTGCATTGTTTATGTCTTTGTTTTTCAGTTTCAATATTGCTACTTCTCCTGTAACCAACATAACGACATAAAATGGTTTCCTGAGTTCAATGAATCTATATGATCTAGCCTGACTTTACTCATAAACCCACCTCACTAGAGGGTTAATTATGCTGTATAACTTATACAAAAAGTTGACCTGACATAACTCTACAATCATCAGACTGGAAAAAGCAGTGGATGAATTGGAATTTGCTTCCATCAGCAGTCCAGGAAAAAAGCCATGTGACGCACATACCGACCACTCTTTCATTGAGACAAACCACAGTTTTGTTTGTGTTTTGTTTATTCAACTAGAACAAATGTGACCTTTTTTTCAGTCTAGACTGAAATATCTCAATGGCTATTGAATGGATTAAGATGTTTTTAGTACTCACATTCATGTTCCCTTCAAGATGAACTCTAACAAATATTATGACACCTTATTGTTTCTACTATAGCGCCTATATCTAGTCAGAATTTCCACTTCTGCAATACTTTAATTGATGACATCACTGCTAATAGGTAAATGATTGCATGCTACCATGCTAAACTGTGAGCATTTAGCTCCTTAAATCACTGTGCGTAAGTACACCTTAACAAAGCTATAGCATGGCATACAATTATAGATGTTTACTGTGCCTTCGTACTTCTGTGACACATTTACATAACTGATGGCTTTTATCATAAGAGACACACACACAGGGACACCGTAAGGGGGTGAAAAGTTAGGACGATTCCAAGGGCCCCGTGACTGACAGGGGCCCAAACAATTTTAGAACAATAAGAAAAAAATGTTTAAGTAACCAATTGTGATATATTTTCATGGGGCCCAAAATCCCTGGTGGCGCCCCTGCAAACACACACACACACACACACACACACACACACACACACACACACACACACACACACACACACACACACACACACACACACACACACACACACGAATATGGAGGGCTACTCTTGAGGACAAAAGTAATGGTAATGCAACTTTTATTGTCACATTTAATAGTTTAAGCATTTTTTTTGATCAAAATAAAAGACAAAACAACCAGTGCGCGTTCATGTTCCTCAGTAGCAATCTTGTAAGATATTTGTTATTGAACTTAATATAATGTTGTCCCATGCAGCTTATATTAGGACCCTGAACTTCCTAAAGGTCCTAAAAAGGTCCAAAACTATTAAAAGAAACGCTATGTAAGTGACACGTGTAAGAAAGCTGTCAATGAAAAAACTCAACTACCCGACCTTCGGAGGTAGCAAACACTGATGCAACACTTCTATCAGTCATGCCTTGGTATGTATGGTATGTATCTTCTTCACACCAACCTCTTCGAGAAACCAGTTTACATTTAAACAAGAGCCCTCTTGCCTACAGCACATTTACCTTGTAAGTTTTCTATGGGACATACCAGTTTGTGGGTGTGGTGCATTTGGGTCATCTGCAATTTAAACCTATTCAGTAGAATTTACTAGATGCAACAAAACCCCTTTGAGTAATTCAATAGACATTAGTTCCTGGTTTAACCTTAGCAACAGATGGACATTGTTTAATTTACTACATCGATATTCAAAAATCTAAAACTTTTAAGGTTAAGCCATTGGCTGTGCTTCTCCTTTTTTGCAAAACCTTCTTGTTATAGGCTGCATGATGAACAGATCGGATCAAATATGTAAATTAAGTAGTAGGCTACCTGCCAGAGCACACAACATGACCTAGCAGATTCTTTGGTTTCCCTGCCAATGTATTATACACACAAACATACCTGTGAGTTTAGGGTTTTATTAATGCTCAGTCTCAATTGTTCCCCACACCATGTCTGTCCTGCTTAAGTTACATGGCCTATATTGTTTTTATTTTATGCATTATATTATTATGATTGTTACTAAGGCAATTACATGAAGGCAGGTAAAAACTGCATGGAGCCAATTGTAACTGTTGCATCCTGTAGGGGTAACAATGCACTGTATTTTTTAAACTTGTGATGGTTTGTATGGAGAAATATTTATATGTAGTTGGTTATAGAAACTGTGTCTGTCAGATGTATGTAGTTGGAGAATTTTTTTTTTAAATGTTACATTCATGCGTTTAGTTACTTTAACCCCAAAATAGCATCAATTATAATAAGGTAATTAGGATCATTCTAGTTAACCAGGTAGTTACAAACCCAAACAAGTTCACCAGAATGTTCCAGGATGATCAGGCCAGGGTGATCTGAGCACAGAGACCATGGGAACTTGAGCAGGAACCGGATCATCTAGTAAAAGTCTTTTAGTAAACCGCATCTTAACCCTTCACCGACTTTCGGGATTACCACTCCAAAAGACTTATCATGATTAAATAGCTGCTAAGTGTTTGTTTACTTCTATTTTTAACAATACTAATTCAGAAAAATGTTCGCCGAACAATGGTTTATTTTATCTTCTCTTCACCCCTTACTCATTTGTAGAAGCATGATTGGTGCATTGGTCGATTGATTGGTAGAACTTCCAATTAAAATAGAGAAGGTTCAATAGTAGCCAATCAGCTCCGGATTTACATTCTTGGTGGATCCGCCCCCGTCTAGAGCTCAATGGAAATTTCCACTCTCTTCCCTCGTAGCTATATATCAGCAGACCGGCGACTCATACGGAAACAGAAGTTAACGGCTCGAAACAATCTTACTTAAAGCATACAAGACAATCGTTTGGTGAGTACTACATTTTGAATTTTGTTATTGATAATAAGATTATGCATTTAAAAGTCATTTAGTCGTTTGCAATGGCCAACTTCTCCGCTTTAAGGGAAGGAATTCTTCTGAATGGGTGTCTCCGTTAGCTAACGTTTAGTAACAGCTAACGGATTAAAGAATTGGCTCTTTAAATGTTTTGAGACAAACCTGTATGATGATAATTGCTTTTATGATTTATTTCTAACTGTTGACTCTACATCTTACCTTCCTGTTATACATAAACACTTACCTGACATAATGAATGCAGATTTTTTTTCTGAAAAAAAAAAGTCGTGAATCGCAAGAAAAGAGTAATAACTCATTTGCACGGACAGCATCCCGATACAACTCAGTTTACAACGAATGCATTCACATTCACACTGATGCCTACATGTTACTTGAAAATACGCTAGTCTGTAGTCATGTTGAATAATGACTGAAATGGTCATGCCCATGTATGGTGTTCCGGTATGCGAGTTAGAGCCCGTCCACGGGTTGCACTACTCATATTACAAGGAGCGGAGTTGCTGCTTCACGGTCACGTGACTTTGAGGTAGATAAACTAAAGCCGGCTGCTGTGGATGGGATAAGCTCTCTGCACACAAGAGTCTGCGACTTCTGAGGAACCTATACATATCTAAAGTAACTCCTCCCGTTTTCTCTCTCCAGGACTCTATTTATTGATTTGACTGAAGAACATTTGGATCTACATCACTACCTTTTTACACTTCTATCTTTACCTTTTTTGAAAATCATCATGGCTCAGCAACAAAACAGGTGAGGTAGTTTGACAAGACATGAAAGGACTATGGCTTAAGAACATTTGAAGGACATCACTGATTTTAATAATAATAATAATCAAATGTAACTGTACAATGCAACTTGAGAGAACGGTATCACATCTAAAAACTATTCCAGCCATCATTTTACGTCTACTTTCATGTTATTTGTCACTGTTTTTATAGTTACAGTAAATGCCATTTCTAATATAATAACGTTGTGTTCTCTTTTTTTCAGTCTTCCAGCCAAGCTCATTAATGGAGGTATTGCTGGCATTGTTGGGGTTACTTGTGTCTTTCCCATTGACTTGGCAAAGACCAGACTGCAGAATCAGAGACCAGGACAGCAGGTCTACAAGAGCATGTAAGTATTTTCGTCTCATACGACAACGCTCTGTGTGCCAAATCTCTTGGCACTATACCTACTAGGTCCATGTATCATCAGCATTGTTGGGCAAGTTACTTTTAAAAAGTAACTAGTAATAGTTATAGTTACTGCTCTCATAAAAGTAACTAGTTACTGTATTAGATACTAAATTATAAAAGTAACAAGTTACTTTACTTTAAATAATAACAATGAAAAAACAAGTTTTTGTGTTGTTCTGTGGCACAGTAAGACAATGCTTTCTGTCCTGCACACAGTTTACATTCGACCGTAATATTTGTTGCGTCCTTTATCCCCACAAATTGAAAATAGTGGTTATATCTCCTGTGTGTGTGTGTGTGTGTGTGTGTGTGTGTGTGTGTGTGTGTGTGTGTGTGTGTGTGTGTGTGTGTGTGTGTGTGTGTGTGTGTGTGTGTGTGTGTGTGTGAGAAGGCAAGACCTGCCCAACTCTGTGTCTGATTGGCTTATCCTGAAATGTTACCCCGCGTTAACCAATCATCACTCCTCTCTGGTCACTTTCACTTTTCCATGGTGCTGTGAGAGGACATCGCTGTATTCAACTGTAAATTACATCCGCAGGGAGATTCTGTTCAGTTCCATCACATAATGTAACGCAGTAACGCACCCATTTAAATCACAGTAACTATGACGGCGTTACTGAATGGGAATAGGTAACTAGTAACTTTATTAGTTACCGCAAAAGGTAGTTGCGTTACAGGCGTTAGTTTGGCGTTAACCCAACACTGATCATCAGTACTATTTTTGCTAATCCTTCAATGACGTCATGATTACTTTTTAAATTTAGGGGAATACCTGACTCAATGGACCGTGATAAATATAAGTCTTTCTCATTCCTCTCCAATGAGGCGTTCAAATGCCTTTGGGTGGAAATGTATTGCCCATTTCACGCACCCAACTAGCATGTATGCTAACGTACATGTCACTGTTACAGGTTGTAAATATATAATGGTAATAAATAACAGGTTTTTTAGTAAGCATCTGTACAATTCTTTTTTACAATCTGTTACTTTATATGATTCAGACCAATAATATTTTCTCTGCTCTCTATTTCTTCAGGATGGACTGCCTTGTCAAGACAGTTCGATCAGAGGGCTTTTTTGGCATGTACAGAGGTAAGAGTTATGCACCTACGAATGTTATGAAGCAGTAGGCTGAAACATGTAGCAGAGGATTAGATGTAGGACAGAGTAAAATGTGTTACGTGATTACAGCTATTGAAGGTTCATATACAGTGTATTTTAAGTGCATGGGTTGCTTTATTTATTTAAAATTACAGTTATTAGTAAAGTAATGGGAAAAGTTATGAAAGTGAGGCGGCCAAAGCTGCTCATTTAGAGTGGTTTTGCCACTTTAAGATATTTTGAATAGCATTCATGCAATGAGTAAGAGAACACTGTTTAATCATAATTGAATCCATTTTATTGTCAAAAGAAGTAAAAACTTGTGGACATAGTTAAATGTGAGGAGAATTGAGAGCTGGTTCTCTGCTTTTGTGAGGAATGCCGTTTGTTTGCATCTGTGTTTTTCATATTGCAGACCTGGGTCCCCCTGGGATATTGAAGGCTAGCCGATAAGGCGCAGCCACGCTGGAGGCAAATCATATAATGGTTCTTACATTATTGCTCTATCTAAAAACATAGGCACATGTTTTTGTTTTGCCATCTGTTTGTTCTATATTTGGACTTCTTGTCAATAACTACTTGGATTTCCTCTTCACTGTCAACTTGTTGTAGATCCTCATTTTGTCTATGAAGTGTGTCCTTGCAGACTTTGGTTGACTTTGAAAACTACTCTGTGGTAGACTAAAGTTATAGATGGTCCACAGTCTCACAGATCAGCTTCTCATGTTTGCCCAAAGTCTGCACACACAGTGCATTGCCATATGAGGATTTAGTCTGTCAACATCTCTTCTCGTTTCTTGTCTGTTGTTGTCGTCATTAACCTACTTACTCGCTTGTTGTCTTTTCAATAGAAACACACATTATCATTTTTAAAGTTTTCTCTTTGTTAGAGGGCCATCTTTATCATAAAGTGACTTGTGTACTTCATAGTGTTTGCATCTTCCTCTGGATCTTCATCACCCTCTTCATTTCTTCTCTCGTCCTGTGTTTTGCTCGCTTCTCCTTTTCCTTTTGAAAGTCATGTATTTAATATTATTTCTTTAGACATAACCCCTCGTGATTTATAGCTGAAGCTACTTTTAAATTGAACATTTTTCCTATCTGTGTGTAGATATTCTGTACGTTGGACTAATTCAATTCCTATGGCTGTAATGTTTTTGAAACTGAGTGAATTGTTGATTGTGACTTCAATGCTAACAGTGTGTGTTTTTATTTCAGGTGCCGCTGTAAACTTGACCCTGGTCACCCCTGAGAAGGCCATCAAGCTGGCTGCTAATGACTTTTTCAGGCAACACCTCTCCAAAAATGGGTAGGCAAAATCATCAACCTCAGAGTCATCAGAACATAATTTAAACAAAAATAATAAGCAATACACTGGATTTAAATGATTTGTGTTCCTCTGTGTTAACAGAAAGGGGCTGACGGTGTTCAAAGAGATGCTGGCTGGGTGTGGAGCAGGCATGTGTCAGGTTGTTGTTACCACCCCCATGGAGATGCTCAAGATACAGCTACAGGACGCAGGCAGACTTGGTGAGAAGAGTTCACCGTTGATACTGAATTATAATCTGAATATGCATTTTACTCAAATACTGCCATTGTTTGTGTGTATTAACATATTTTGTCTTTGGTCCAAAGCGGCCCAGCAGCAGAAGCCCGTCATGATGTCCACCACCAAGCTGGTGGCCACCAACACGGTGCTCTGCCGCTCCTTCAACTCATGCACCGTGTCCTCAGCACCGCGAGCCGTTTCTGCCACTCAGATTGCTAAGGAGCTGTTCCACACACACGGCATCCAGGGGCTCTACAAAGGCCTGGGGGCCACCCTGATCAGGTGAAACTCCTATTCATGCTAACTAGGCAGACCAGTTACTAGGTATCAGGGTTTCAGTCTGAAACAACTATTTATTTTGTTCCTTTCAGGGATGTTCCCTTTTCTATTGTTTACTTCCCGCTGTTTGCCAACCTGAACCGCCTGGGCAAACCGAGTCCTGATGCTGCGTCTCCGTTCTACTGGGCCTTCATGTCCGGGTGTGTGGCCGGATCCACCGCCGCTGTGGCTGTTAACCCGTGTGACGGTGAGTGTTCAGAGCCATGTCAGCCATGATGCCAGAAATCTATCAGGTGTTACCACACCAGTGAAATTCCTCGGTTTTTGTTAGGAAGTTAAACGGGTCATAGTTCCAACTCTAACCTTTTTTATACTACTGTGAAAACCTCTCTTTTGAACAACTATAATTATTCAAGTCTTAACTTGCACCACTATGCTGCTCTTTGTTATCCCCATTCTGATATTTCTTAAAGCTAACGTTAGCTAGCTCTCCTCCATATCATTTCAGCACATGGTATTAACAATGGAGAATGGTCAGTATTTAAGTGTGTGATATGTTCTGCATGATGTGCCCTGTTTATTAGTAACAGCACAGTCATGTTTCTTAATGTCATTTCATATTTTTTCTTTCATTTTTTTGTAGTTGTGAAGACTAGACTGCAGTCACTGAACAAAGGGTCCGCTGAGGAGGCCTATAGTGGAGTGGTTGATTGTGTGAGGTAAGACGGATAAGTCATACATTGTTACAAAATCACTTTTCATTTTTTGAATGCCTGTTTACATAAAGCTCTGGTTCTCCACAGTAAAATAATGCGGAAGGAGGGACCCTCAGCCTTCCTGAAAGGTGCTGGCTGTCGAGCTCTGGTGATCGCGCCTCTCTTCGGCATCGCACAGGTTATGTACTTTGCTGGAGTTGGAGAATACATCCTGGACAACACTCCTCTAAACCTCCTGTCGGCATAAAAGCATATCAACTTGACTGAGGACCTTCTGAGCGTAGATGGTGGAACAACTGGCAGCTACATACCATCAGTTTACAGCAGAGTCTTGTCTGGAGACAGGAAGACCTATGATTCATCTTCTGCTGTGTTGCACTTAAACACTTTTGTGACTTTTTCAGGAGGCTATAGCCAATGTTTGCACTTGAAGCTGTTAGCCTTACCGGGCTGGGGGATGCAGTGTTATTCTTTCTCTGTCCCCGAGACAGTCCTGTTTCCCTCTGTGAGGGAGGAGAGCTATTTCCTTCAAATACACATCCTATTTTTGTGATTTCTTCCATGCTGTCACTTTTTTTTGTGTACTTTATGTGTATGCTTGTTTTTATTTTTGAATTCCTGAATGCAGCAGCTTGCAGTACTTTGTTTTTTTCCTTTTCCACTGCTGTCTCATGTTACAAAATCTCGTTGAGCCCATTTGAATGCAAAGGGATATTTTAATTATTTGGTTACACACATTTCCAGCAAGAACTGTTATTGTACATGTTTAAATCTCACTGATCATGAACCTTCCTACTGACATGGGACCATATGGCTTTCCAATCCATAACATGTCCTGTTAAATACTTGATGTTACCCTGAAGTTGTTTTAGTAGTATTACCTGCAATAACTTGAGATGCATTCATGCATATTATATATGTATCTGTCCACATAACTTCAGTTAAGACATTTTCATATGGATACCTGAAACTTCAAATGTTTTTATTGGTTTATGCCTTAAACAAAGCAGAAAGACCTTTCTGTCTGAATAGAAAACATGCCAAATAAAAACAATATTACTGTGACTCAGCATGTGTATGTGTTTTTCGTACATACCATATATTGACATTAAAAATGTAAATACACTCATTCTGTGTTCATTGATTTATTACACCATATCGTTGACAGGTCTATACCACACAGACATAAATGATTCCTGCTTTGTTACAAAAACTTTGAAAGGTCCAAAAGACAGCTGGTTTAAACTGAGATAATGCCCCTTGAACAAAAACATTTAATCCGTAGTGACAAATGGCTTCAATCGTCATAATACTTAACGATGCTAAAGGAGAAACACTAGACTAGAGGCTATTGAAAGAGCTGCTAATCTGAGTATATCCTTCATGTAAAATAGGATTGTACATACGCACACCTTGATGAATCGGAAGTTGATTAGGAGAGGACTCTGTCAATTTAGTTTAAAAATATGACATTTTAAGGGTGGATTATGCATTGTTATGCTAAAATGTGTGTGAATGGATAAACTCAGCTGATTGCTAACAAGTATCATGCATGCTTTTTGTGAAATGGCTAGACGGACGGGAGGGATAAGGTGGCGTGGGAAAGGGACTCCGTTATCTTTTAAAGAAATATAATATATAAAGGTGGCAGCCTAACAAATGCATTTTACTAAGTATAAAGGCCTCTTGAAGATTATATGTTGTCTCACTAATGTAATGTGTCTCAAGAGGCCCTATTGTTGAGTGTGGTCTATTTGTTCCCAGCATTATTGAACTGGTTTAGCATTGTGCTGCCATGAGACAAAACTTGCATTAGAGACTTCAAAGGCAGGAAAACAACCAAACACTTTTTTAAAAGCACCCAGTATTTATTTCTATTTATTACGGTTAACAATATGGCATAAACTATATTATTCTATCATTCACATCTTATTGGCACACCAACAAAATGTACATCCAAAATAATTCACACAAAATGCAAACTAGCTCACCGTTACAGTTCACACGTGCTCGAGAGGAGCTCACGACTCTGTGTTACTCGGGACCTTTTAGATACGTTTGGGGATTCACAGAAAGGCAGTTTATCATCAGACCTTCCCTAACCCTTTTAATATCACATCTTCACTTCCTCTTTTGTGCTTTAAAGTAGAAATACTTGAGAGTGGTGGCAGGGAACTCATGTAGATATTCAAATCACAATAAATAGGCAAATTTAGTGACAAGATAGGCACGTGGTGGAACTTTACTCAGCAAAGGTAGGCTAGTCCTCAAAACATATAAACACACGGAGTAGTATTGGCTACATAAAAAGGGCACAATAAATAATGTTTACAACAATTGCATAAAATAGCTGTCCATATTTACAGCAGTCACAACATTCCTGTGTCTAAAAAGGCTTCGTGTAGTGTGTCGTGTAACAAAAAGATGTTAAAACTGAGGAATGTCTCAGAGTCGTGCCAAAAGCAGAGTTTGGATTACAGGAAAAAAAATATTTTTCACTCAGTGCTGGTGGAGTTGAGGTGTGCAGATTACGATCCAGCGTATCGTGTTGAATTTTGGCCCGTGGACAACTGGGATGTATTGAATTCTCTCTTTGTGATATTCACTGAACTCCCCCACCAGATTCCTATGGACTAGAGAAAAGACATGAAATGTAACTTTGGGGTTTTCCATCTTTATTCAGATGTCTTGATGATAAAGGGGTCATTGAGGGTGTAGTGGGCTCGCTGGTTGGGTGGGACTCAACTTCTAAATAACCTCCCTGTTGTTCCTGATGGCACAACACAGGACCATGCTGAAGATCATCCCTATGACCTGGAATCAGACACATTGATGGACATGTTAAAACAATGATGGAGCTTTGTGTAAAGTTGGACAATACAGTATAACCATCAAATCGTCGTTGAGGGAACATTTATAGAAGTGATTGTAAACTGGGATCATGATTGATGAAGTTTGAATTCAATGCTGTGTAAATCTCACCATTACTCCTGCTATCCCAATCCCTATGTATCCAATAGTGTGCAGCTTTTCATTGAAGAAGTCTGATATTGCAGTGAGACAATCCTAAAAAATAGAAAAACGCATATATGTTGTTAATAACAGTTACTGCACAAAACCCCGCTGTGGATACATGTACACCTGTGATCCGTGACCGCTGATGGTTCGATCATGGTTAAATCAGTGCTACTGTGCCCCCCTGTGGGTCTAAAGTGTCATAGCAGGCAGCGGGGTCACCTGGGTGTTCTCCTCGGCCTCTGCACACAGTGTGGTGGACGTGTCTGATGTGGAGCCTCCACAACAGTTCAGCTGTGAATGAAAAGGTGAAAGAAAAGATGGTGATGCTGGTTCACTGTGACTCAGTCATATGAAGAGGAGAGGTCTTACTCACAGTTTGGTGGTAAATGACTGCGATTGCTGTGTCATTCGGATTGGAGACGTCAGCAATGGAGCTGCTGTAAAACTTTTGGACTTCCTCAACAATCTAAAGAAAATATCAGTTATTACATTCGAAAAATACATTACAATCTGATTTATAATGTTTAATTTCAGTGTTGTACCTGTTTCTTGTTCATGAATCCAAACACTCCAGCGGCAATCTCTGCTCCGAAGATGATCAGAAGGCAAGCGAAGAACTGTAGAGCAGGAGAAAGGCTCATTAATGTCCCATACGAGAGGTATCTTTATACAAGGAGAGTCTGTATCACTTAAATTTATCATTTTATAGATCAATCATTTCCCTGTGATTTCCTAGATGCTTTTAAGAAAATCATTTTTTTATTAGCAGACACATTTTCTATTGTTTGCACCTAATGTGCACTCATTTCAAAACTCTTGTTTACCCTCGCAATAATTAGGATTAATTAACACCATTATCGTGCCAATTAAAGCCTATTTCACCTATAATTGGAACCAAATTACACATAGATCTTTCCAGGGAACTGCATATAAATAACCAGGACATTTAGTAATTAAACCTGTAGAAGTAAAACATTTGAGGGATTGATTCACATTGATTACACGTTTAAAGTACAAGAATAGGAACACTTTAAAGCACCCAAACTCACCGATGCAAGAAGACACTGCGACTCGCGTACAGCGCCAAAACAACCAAAGAACCCGACAATCATCATCAGGCCTCCTGCACCGAGAAGGATGTACACGGCTGAGGGGAGGAAAAGTAGATGGATGAGAACTTTAAATCGTTTATATCTGTAGAAATAAATCAGGAGTAACAATCCACTAGAATCACAATCAGAATCAGGTTTATTACCAGGTAGGTTGACACGTACGAGGAATTTGACTTGGTGTCGTGGTGCATACATAAAAGTAAAACAAAAAT